CAAATTACCACCATTCTGTTGTTTTAGAAGTTTGATAAGTTCTTGTTTGTCCTTCTCCTTCTCTTGGGCTTCTTGTGCGGAACGGAATCGTCTTGACCGTTGCTGGTTCATCTTGGCTCGAGGTGCAACACCATCTAAGGGGAGTTGTTAGCTTTTACCAAATAAATTACGTATACAGCTCCGTCTGAGACTGAGCTAAGAAAAAGAAATTGGCCCATACCAACTGCAATCATGAGTATCTTTCGGGGCCGAACCATATTCACCACGCGATCGGTATATCTGAAGACTTCCATCATCATTTCCTCCTCATCTTTGGGAGCCGGTCGATCTTCAGGGTGAGAACAGGGATGAACGATGCCGTTCATGTCGAGATACAGGTTATCAAATTCCTCGCCGTTCGGGTTCGGGCGAGTCGTGTCGACAGGAATCGTGGAGCCATCTTCCATGGTAAGAGGCTGATCCTCAATTACCGGTGAGATAATCTTAGGATATCTGGAAGAAAGCCATCGGAAAGCAGCGGGAATACCCATCGTAGCGATTCTGCGGAAGTCGACCTTTCGGAAATTTGTAGTGAGCTCGTTGCGCGAGCAGACTCCGGGCGATCAGAGGCGATGCGGTTACAAAACCTGGGACTCGGGAAATAAATGCCTCTTACAAGACGTGTCGCATCAATGAGTTGAGGCGACAGCGCGTTAAGGCCAAGCGAATAGGTTCCCTGGTTGTCGCTTGAAGGAAGACGAAAATTATGTGTAGGATGAAGGCTGTCGCTTTTCGAATCGCGACATGATTCTTTGACTGCTAGCTCGGACCCTGAGCCACACGGTTATGCAAGTGAGTGGATATCTGTGGCGCTATGGTGGGGCCTTGAAAATCCACTTACTGAATTGTATCTTAATCGGGAATTATGCAGCAATGGAGTTAGCATGACGGCTCGCATCTTCTCCTGACAAGCTGGCCAGAATTAAGAAGCCAATACCTACCTAGTGTCGACTAATTAGGATAGCTTTTTCGGTGATCTTCACCAACAGAGAAGACGTTATTAACAATTGCCGGAAGGGCTCCATGCACCCTCTCGAATCCCTTTGAGCCATATGGCATTGAGGCGCCACAATCATGTTCTCTATCGCCAGCGCGCCGGCGAAGCAATCGGTTGGTGAGACCATCGACGTTCTAAGCGGTCGCCTCAGTTCAGCAACTTTGCTAGAAGACCGAAGAGCTGCAATTCTGGGTCTTCGTAGCTTCGCCAAAGATTATCCAGCTTCTGTGGCTTCGGGTGCCCTACGAAGTTTAATAGGGAGTCTAAGCAAAGACGGTGAAGATGTCGACACCGTCAAAGTGGTACTCGAGACTTTGTTAATGCTCTTCAACCCTAATGAAGATAGTCCCGAAGCTTCGGAGGAGATCGCCCTATGGTTGGCCGACGAGTTCACTCAACGCCAAGAAAACATCACGTTACTGCTCGATTTCCTCGAAACAAACGATTTCTATTCCCGTCTATATTCTTTACAATTACTAGCCGCCATACTTTCGGCACGTACAGAACGCACTGAGGAATGTATCTTTACTGCTCCCCTCGGTATACCGCGGCTGGTTTCCGTCCTCGATGACCAACGCGACGCTATACGTAACGAAGCTATCATTCTCCTGACCTACCTCACACCAACATCGATCGAAATACAGAAGCTGGTGGCTTTTGAGAATGCTTTTGAGAGATTGTTTGCCATCATCGAAGCCGATGGAGCTCTCGTAGAAGGAGGTCGCACTGTTGAAGACTGCCTGATCCTTTTGGCCAACCTCCTCCGGTCAAACAGCTCAAACCAGGCCCTGTTCCGGGAGTCGGGCTGCATGAACCGTTTGGCGGATTTATTAGGTCGAGTTCTGAAACCTCAAACTGATGGGTCTGAGATTGCTTCGTGGGCAGCAGCGCAACGAAATCGCAATGTTTATGCTTTCCTCGCCGTTATTCGTCTGTTTGTTGTCAGGGGCTCCGCAGGCACTTCATTGAATCAGACAGCTATATGGAAGCATGGTCTTGCCTACCACATTCTACAACTGGCCTTCAGCCATGAAGCGCAAACACAAATCAAGGCCGAGGTTCGATAATTTGATTGCTACCGGAAGGCCATTTCGTTGACATCATATAGGCTCTGATCACTTGTGGTGACGTGATTCGGCAGAATGCACCTCTTCAGGAGACATTTGCTCAGATGATGGTTTTGGCTCCTCTGGCTAAGAGTGGCACGGCCGATGGACAGGCCAGCCAAGGCGAAAAAGTGTTTGTTATCGACGGCTTATTGGACCTGACATTGTGCCTGCAGGACCTCCAGGAATTCGATGTTCGTTTTGCGGCGGCTGAGTGCTTACAAGCTTATTTTTCACATCACCCAGCTGTCAGGCTGCATTTCCTGGGCCGCGCCATTGAAGGACATCAATCTGGGGCCAACGAGTCTTCCAACGTTTTGACAGTTCTTCTGCAGCCTCCAGTTGAGTCCTCAGATCCATACAGGCAATGGTTCGCTGCTGTGATCACCTTCCATCTCTTGCATGAAAACTCGGAGGCCAAGTCAGAAGCCATGGGCTTGACCGAAGGTGATTCGGAAGACGGGGAAGAGGTTGTGACTGCTATCCAGACTCTTTCAGCTCACGTTACATCAGGCCTTCGTAGAGGCGATGACACGCGGGTTTTGGTCGGTTATCTTATGCTACTCTTGGGCTGGCTTTTTGAGGATCTCGATGCAGTGAACGACTTTCTCGCCGAGGGGAGCAATGTTCAAAGCCTAATTCAAGCTGTTTCACAGCCTCCAGCCATAGGCGGGGGCGAGATCGTTCAGGGACTGTGCACTATGTTGCTTGGTGTTGCTTACGAATTCTCAACAAAAGACTCAGCAATCCCAAGAGCAACATTACTCTCCATCTTGACGGCTCGCATAGATCGAGATGTATACCTAGACCGCCTATCAAAACTTCGCAGCCACCCTTTTATTCGTGATTTCGAAGTATTACCTCAAAGGCTGGACGCTTCGTCTCCAGGACGACTCCCCGATGTCTTCTTCGACAGGGAATTTGTTGAGTTCTTTAAGGACAACTACAGCCGAATAGCACGCGCTATTGACAGAGAGCCCGGCATGGAGATCTCTGTCGTCACCAACGGTGTTCAAAAAGGTGTTTCTAGGGAACTGGTAGACTCTCTCCGGAGCCAGGTCGAGGACAAGCAGAATGCTGTGAACGAGATCCAGGAAAAGCTAGCGGTACTTCAGGGGCAGTTAGGACAGGAACAGGCGGATCATCGCAGATCAAAGGAAACCGCCGCTCTAGAAATGCAACGGGTCAAGGCCGTGAATGAAGGGTTACAAAAGCATCATAGCGAAGAGCTGCGGTAAGTGCCACCATTATCAGTTTGTATTAACCCTACTGAAACAGCTGCAGGAAGCTTCAGGGTCAATTGGCGTCCAAGGAGAATGATCAGCGTAAGCTGGTTGCTCAATTGCAATCTCAATATTCGATCAAGGAGAACGAGTATCAAAAGCAAATTGCTCAGCTGCGTTCACAGCAAACAGCACAAGAAAACGATCATCAAAAGCAGCTCGAACAAGTCCGGAAGGCGGCCGAGGCCGAAGCAGAGAAGATCAGACGGAGGACGGATGCTGAAGTGGCAGATCTCAAAGCGAACATCAGTCGTCTCGAAGTTGTTCTGATGAAGGTGCGTACCTGTTATCCCAGCCATTACGGCGTGTACGAGTGTAGTCGGCTAATATTGGCTCAAACCTAGTCCCAGAAGGAGTACAATGCACTACAGCTGCAACGCAAGAACGAGATAGATATGCAAAGAGAGAAATACGAGAAGATGCTAGGGCCTCTTCGTCAGGAATACGAAGACTTCAAGATCCAGTCTAAGGTTCAAGCAGATGAGAAACAGGCCAGGCTCAAAGAGGAACTGCAAGGCCTCTGCGATAGAAAAGATGCTGAGATAGACGCTTATCGAGAGCAGAGTCAGGTGGACCTGGAGCAGCAGAAATTGAAGACCAGGGAAGCAGAGGAGAAGTGCCAGAGCCTCGAGAAGCAGCTCAGCGGAGGAGACGCTGGAAAGAAGGACTTGGAGGCTAAGCTCAAGCAGGTATGCGATTATCAACCTGTCCTGATGGAAGATGGTCAAGAAACTCACATGTCTCACAGATGGAATCGGAACTGTCAGCTGCCAAAGCAGCAAAGGACGCAGCCGAGAAGCAACTATCAGAATCGAAGGAGGCAGCAAAAGAGGAGGCTAGGAAGGCAAGAGAGGCGACTGAGAAGAAGCTGCAGGAATCAAATGAGGCTAGAGAGACCACCCAGTCCGAACTTGATGACCTCCTCATGGTGTTTGGCGATTTGGAGGAAAAGGTAGCCAAATACAAGGCAAGTCAAGAAACGCGGTGCTCTCATTTGCATACTCTATACTAACTGACTTGACTAAAGGCTCGTCTCGTTGAGCTTGGAGAAACCGTATCAGACGGCGAGGACGATGATGGTGAGGAAGACGACGACGATGACGATGAAGAAGAAGCAGAAGACGACCAAGAGTCTGAGGATAACGATGACGAAAAGGAAGAGACGAAACAGAAGCCGACAGCCAAAAAATGAAAAAAAGGTACACCAGCAAAGTCGCCAAACCTACAGACAGACAGTCAGACAGACAGGAATATATGCGATATACCCCCTTACAGACATATCATATATATTAACTAACGGCAAACACCTCGCGGATTGCATCTGGATGGTTGCAAAGCCTTTTGCCTCTGACTTTCTACCTATCATGACCCAGAAAAAATTCCCCAACAGGGCATAGCCTTCTCCAATCACCGTGATCCCACAAAATATTCTCCAAGCTAAGGTTAGGTTAGCTAACTCAGTGCAAACCAAACAAGACAAACCCAACATTCGACACTGGCCACTCGAGTTCTTGATTCAACTTGGTTTGATCGATCTGGCCTGGTCTTGCATTGCATTGCAGTGAAAAGGGCAAAATGTCTACTCACGAATCTATCTCTGACGAGGGCGAATGGCTCGACCTCGAGTCGGATGAGGAGTCAATCCCCATTACATCCTTCTTCAGCGCCCAAACGTTCCCTACTGTTGCCGCTATGCTCGAGGATAGCAGCAAGAACCATGGTTTCAGCTTTGCCGATTATGTCCAAAAGCTTCAGCTTGACTTTCACGGTGCTGTCAAGCTCGTCAACTTTGTTCGTGATAGTGTAAAGAATGGCACACCATTGCCCAAGGAGATCTCTGCAAAAGACCTCGAAGACGAGAAGTACCTTCAGCCTGTTCTGGAGAACGATGCTCTCATCTTTTCGCTGGACGAAGTATTGGAGAACATTACCAACGACCAAGCAGCTGAATCCAACGATGGAAATCTCAAGGCCCGTAACAGGGAACTGGAGGAGGAGCTCGAGAAGCTCAGAGATCAATTTGCCAGCTACCGCTTGACGGTTCAGCAGACACTTGATAAGCGATGGGGCGATGATACCGAGACGGCTGCAACAGAGAAGAAGGATGACTCTGCCTATTATTTCGAGTCTTACGCCGCACATGGTATATCCCACCAGTTGTCGGTCGATATCTTGATCTGTTCATACTGACTGGTAGGGTACAGAAATTCACGAGACCATGCTGAAAGACACCGTACGAACTGATGCGTACCGTGACTTCATCTACAACAACAAGCACATCTTCAAGGACAAGGTCGTCCTCGATATCGGATGTGGCACTGGTAAGCCTAGTTATGGTTTCGATCTTGATTCGATACTAAAGATTTCAACTTAGGTATTTTGAGCATGTTTGCGGCAAAGGCTGGCGCTAAGCAAGTCATTGCTGTTGACAAGTCAGACATCATTGTCAAGGCTAGGGAGAATATTTTCCACAACGGCCTGTCCGATGTTATCACAACTCTCCAGAGCGCCATTGAGGATGTCAAGCTGCCTGTAGACCAGGTCGATATCATTGTCAGCGAGTGGATGGGCTACTGTCTTCTCTATGAGGCTATGCTTCCAAGTGTCTTGTACGCTCGAGACCGTTACCTGAAGCCCGATGGTATTCTCGCCCCCAGCTCTGCCACAATCTGGATTGCCCCCATCGCAGACCCCGAGTATGTTTCGGACCACATCTCTTTCTGGAGAGATGTCTACGGCTTTGACATGAAGACTATGCAAGAAGGTATCTACGAAGAGGCCCGTGTCGAGGCCATGCCACAAAGTTCTGTCTGTGGTGAACCCTACCCCTTCAAGGTGCTTGATCTCCATACCGTCAAGACCGAGGATCTTCAGTTCAGCGCCAAGTGGTCATCAAAACTCACCCGTGAGGTCGAAAATGTCGACGGGTTCCTCATTTGGTTCGACAACTTCTTCACGACATCCAGAAGCGACCCAGTACCCCCTGCCGAGACAACACCAGAGACCTGGGACAAGAAAGACCAGGGAGGCGTTGCGTTCACTACCGGGCCTTCTGGCACTGTCACACACTGGAAGCAGGGACTTCTTCTCGCTCCTCCAGAGGTAAAATCATCTGCCAAGTCGCCCCAGAGTCTCTCTGGAGATATCGTTTTTGCGGCAGCTGACGACAATGCCCGAGCGCTGGTTATTAGGGCTTCTTGGACCGATCTTGAGGGTGGCTCAAGGAAGCACTCATGGCAGCTGAAATAAAATGCTTCTTCAATCAGGCTTGGACACGGCCAGCAAAGTCTGAGAAGATGGTGTCTCCACGAGTCGAATATGATATGCGATGCAATCACAGATGAGGAACATTCAAGCCTTGCAGCAAGAGGTTTACAATGCTCAGGAAACCCTCGCCAAGAATGAATCCCTATAGGGGTCAGGATAGATGTGACATGGAATGGACGAGACACGTACCGAAGCAAGGATGATTAGAGGGGTCTGCGTCCGTCGCGCGATATGAGTCCAGTACCATGCAAACAGACCGCCAACGGTTCGAGCCAGTGTGAAAGACGGGACGTTATACATGCCTTGTCAGGTGTCAGCGATAGTATCTCCCTCGGGGTCACATATAGTCAACTTACCAACGGCGACAGCAATGCCACCAGGAATAAGAGGTCGCCATCTTTTACCGATAGCGAGCGTTCTGGTGATAGTGGCAACTGCGAATAGAACCGCAGCTCCAATGGCCCATTCCTTGACACGATATGGTAGCCCAGAACCTGTGACGAGCCTTGCAGTGAATATCCAGACGTAGGCGGTTGGTACCTGGAAGAGATCACCAGGAATCGTATATACACTGCGTTTCAACTGTGTCAGCCAGGTCCTCTTTCAAGTGTGATATGGCGAAGTGATAGGTTACCCACCTCGTGTAGACACGGTAGATGAATGCACTCAGAACAGCACCGACGCTTGCTCCAATGACTTGACCCCAGAATTGGGCTTTTGGAGCTGCTCCCAGTAAGTGCCCAGTTTTGAGGTCCTGCATGAGATCGCCAGCTTGCAAAGCACCAGCTTCGGACTGTGGCAGGTTAGAACATTTGCCTGAACATGTAGGCATAGGGAATCACTTACTACAGCACCGGCGATCAGGTTGATCAAGACACTGGACTTGTGAGACTGAGGGATGATAAAGGCAAAGAAAAGCTGCGCGAGTTTGCTGATCCCAGATACGGGGTTCAAATCCGTCTCGCCCAGCGCCCTAACTCCCATGATGCTTAACACCAGAGCCATGAGAACAGCAATGGTGGTTGCATAGAGCGGTACAAGGTCACCAAAGACCAAATGAATAGTGAGGACGCACAGAGCTATCGAGGCAAGAAGGCCGATCGTTACCATACGGGGCCCAATGCGCTGGTGGGGAGGAGCATCCTCCTCATTGTCGTCCCGGACAGGGGCATATTCATCAGCTCCATAGCGCCTCTGAGCAGTCTCAGTCTCGCTGCTCAAGAGCGGCGAATAGTCATGGCTCGGATTCTTCCACAAGCCAGAGACGCCATGTTCCTGTACTCTCTGGCGTAGGGAAGACATAATCCCAGTCACCTGTTGGCTGGCGAAGATTCCGCGGAGGGCAACGTAAGCAAGGCTGACAATTGCATCCGCTAGCATGATAGCCAACGAGATCCAAATGATCCATCCCTTACTACCATGTTCCCAATCATCAACATCACCAGGCGCCCACCCCCGAGATTTGGCCAGAGGGCTGAGGATTCCCCAGCCAACTACAGCACCAAGAAGCATATGCAACGTCGTTTCGGTCCCCATTATGATTCCCTGACCGATATAAGCAAAGCTGGGGTTAAATGTCCACAGCCATGTGTGAGCTGCGGCAGAACCAAAGATTGGCAAGTTGCGCAGTATAGGGAAAAAATATGTCGCCAGCGTATAAAGCCCAGAGCCGCCAAAACACAAAAGTAACAGTTTGATATTGGCTGCCCAGTCTCCTTTGTCCGGCATGGCATCGCCGACATCCTGCTGATGCTCCTGGTCCGTAGCAGCCCGGCCAACGGTGTCTGGTTGAAGAGGCTCGTCACGAGGAACGAGACTTGCAAAGCCACCTTTAGCAGCAGCGTCAAGCTCGTCTTTGGTCGATTGCCGGCCTTGTCCGTGCAATACTGAGATCAGCACGGCCGTACTGAACCCACTGGGAAATTTGAGGCGCTCTCGGATGATGACTTGCTTGCGTCTGGTAGAGATCAGTAAGATTGGGGCAGAAAGACACGGATCATATAATGGCTTACAGGGGAACAGCAAAGACGACGCCAAAGTAGCAGAGTCCCAGAGACCAGATGATGAGCTGCCAGGTACTCAAATTGATCGGGCCTTGCTCATCCTGAGCCAAAAGATAGTTCAATGCCGGGATCTGCCTCGCTAGTCAGAACAATCTCTTGATATAATATGAGTCTAGATGACATACGACACCAACAAAGCCGCATCCCAGTGGCATAATAGCCATGCCACAAGCTACGCTCTGGAGCAATACGTTCTCAACAGGAGAAAATGGAAACCTTAGATGCGGCGCAAGGAGCCTGAAGATGCCAAAGCCCATGAGACTCGCAGGCATTGACATGATGGAAACCCATCCGGTCTGCAAGCCAAAGTACATATTGGAGAAGCAGATGATGGTGCCAACTGCGAGACCAGCTATAACGCCTCGCAGCGTGAAACTGCGCCCTGGGACCACGCGTGTCGCCATTTCGCTGTTTTTGGCTGTGGGCAGCTAATGAATGGCGATGTTTGGTTCAGAGACGCGTTTGAGAAGTTGGTTGTGACGTTAGTGAGATGAGATAGGTATCTACCTTACCTCAGGTTAGTAGTTAACTAACTGTATTACCAAGCGAACAAACCCCACATTCCGATATCCGGGGAGACTTTCCGCGATCAACTTATCGGTTAATCTAGCTAGGTACCAACCTCAACATGCCTTACTACATACCTAGGTATCATCGATCTCATAAGATACAATTAAGCAGGCACTTAACAAAAGTAGGTAGGTGGCTTCCAAGGAGAGATGCTTTTATTACCACTGAAGTATTAACTGCTAAGCCATACTTGCTACCGTGTTTGCAGTATAGATAGCTCTACGAATCAACTCTTCCCAGCCTTGACTCCGCTGCCTCGCCATGGAAAAAACCCATACATCAGGAGCTTCATCCCACTTACATGAAGCTCACTAGGTAGGAAAATACACACACATTGCCGCCTCTTCAATACTGCACTGCAACTCAACGACCCCATCAGAAGCCGAAACTGTCGAGCAGAGAGCCAGCATCTGGCTCTTCAAATGTCGTGGGTGGTGGTTTGACCGTCTTCTTGTTCTCCCGGTGAGAGTCGAATTTAAGAGTTGGTGAAGGCAAGTCGGCAACCACCAAAGAGCTTCTCCGGCGAAGCAGCTTCAGAGGGTTTACCTCTCCACCAAGGCCAGTTGCTCCAGGTGATTGTTGGAACTCCCAATTACGTACTATTTCGCAGTCAGTAAATATGTGCTTGGCACTTGCATCGTAGTCTCGCACTCACCTATATCCAATCCCAAAAGATCGCATCCCATTCTATCATATAGCTTGGCGCTATGCAGCACAAACTCCCACTCAACTTTCGGCGTAATCTTGGATGCTCCTCTCAAAGTTTGCAGAGTCTGGTGACGTAGATGTGAGTAAAGGACAACCAAGGCAGGGTCATCGGTCAAAAACAACCGAGACTTGATGTCTGGTGAACAAGGTGTTTCCAAGAGGGTATACACCGGTGTCTATATCAACATGTCAGCGATTGAGCCCGTATCCAGGACTTGACAGATCACAACGTACAATAAGTGCTCGTACGGCCACATCTTTACGGCCGAGCATCCAGAAGGCCCATGCAGCCAGCCACCGGTTACCCTCCTGTGCTGCTAGTGGGAGTACTGTATCTTGAAGTAGACGGCGCAAGACAGGGCCGTCGTCGCCTTCATAGACGCGCGATATTGTGATGGCTAATTGCATGTCTTTCAGCTGATTCAGACAAACCTGAACAGCGTCATGGAGGTGGTCCGCAAGAAGGAAGAATGCTGCAGCATACTCTGTTCACGATCAGCTTTTGTACGGGAAGGCTGCTACGTCTAGGAATATCTTTACCGAATCGCCGCCTGCTAAGCAAGGCATAGGCATTCTTGAGTGCTGCCGATCTCCATTTAGGATCTTCGAAATTGTTTGCCAACAGGCGTTGAGTGGCTGCCTGCTCCTTGTTCCAGTTCGCCATTCTCCAGAGCCCTTGGAGGACCGTCTTCTTCCGGAGCGCGAGGTAGTAAAGGCTGCAGTCAACCGGGTTTTTGACCTCGTTCTTTGTGTACTCGTTTCTGGCGATGAGCTCGAATTGAGCTTTCTGGAAGATGTTAGCTACCGTGACAAGTTCGACAGATCCGAATGGTGTTTACCAGTGCCGTAGGATCAGTGAGCCACATGAACAGGCCACTTTCACGAGCATGTTCCCAAAGCATACTGCCATGGTTCTGCCGCGATACAAAGTCAACCAGGATATCTTGGCTGTTGGAGTGGAAAGCCCAGTTGATTTCACGCCATGAGAGATGCATCTCGTTGGTTCGTCCTTTGCGGAGGGCATGTTGACGGAACAGCAGCATAAATCGAGCACCATTCTCGTCCATCGATCGCCGATGTCTCTCAACAAGGGCAACGCATTCAATAATGTCAGCGAGCTGGATCTGTTCGTGTCCTGAGAGCTGGATGATATCGATCTTGACGAGCTTCTCGTTGATCGAGACCGCCGTCTGCTCCGTAAATACATCCTCGTCATCGGTCTCATCCGTGTTGCTTCCATTCAGATACGCCCCAGAAGACTTGTCAACAGCTAAAGTATGACGTAATTGCTGAACGATTGGATTAGTACGGCCTGTTGTCTCCTGGGCATGATCGAATTGTCACTTACCTCGGGCATATAGAATTCGCTCAAGTCCATTCCCAGGTAGTCATCCAGCATTTCGCCGTTAATGTGGTATTTCAAGGTCTTATGCAAAGCCACCAGAATGCGCCTGACAAGGGTCGCCTTCCCTGAAAGGATGCATTGCATGAGAAACTGGGGATGAAAGACTGGTAAGGGGCCGTTGAATCTTTGAACGACCTGAAACAAGTCTAGTTTGCCATCTTTGCGCAGAGGAAGACGCAGATCCGTCTTCATAGACTCGGAGATTCCAACGTGCCTGTCCTGCACAAACATCTGGTTGCCGGCACCAATAACCAAGTGGCCGTCGCCCAACCAGGTTGAGTCACCGATTGGGTGAGGTGTGAGTTCTCGAATGCTGATTTCGCGAATTTGTGCCCATGCTGGGCCCTTGTTGAGATAATCAAATCGCATCTGAGAGAGTAGGATGATTCGGTAAGGGAAACCAACGGCGAGAATAGACTGCCCATCGGGTGTTGATGTCCAGTCAAGATCTTGGATCACCTGGTGTTCTTGAAAGTTATTCTCATATTCGAGACGAGCACCGCCAATGTCCCAAATTGTCAATTGCGATCTCGACGAATTCACAAGGGCAGCTTTCTTCAACGTACTGCCACTGACCAGTGCTGGCTCAGAAACTCCCGTCTCCGTGGTACACGTCGATAGCCATCCAACGCTTCGCTGTTCAGGGTCAACTCGTGCAGTCCAAAAGTCCACGCGGCCCGTGTGTGTATAAGAAATGGCAACATCGCGAGCGAATACATCGAGAAAGCCCGAGACGATGGGCTGCGAACCGGCAGGATCAACTGGCAGCACATAGGCCAGGCTCTTTATATCCTTTATTTCAAAGCGACACAATTCCTCGACATTGGCTCCAGCTGTTGTCTTTGGGTCATCAAAGTAACGAGGCAGTTGAACCTCCCACACGATACCGTGTCCTTCCGACGTTATTGTCGCAATATGGGCAACGGTATAGTTCTTAACATCCGATCGAGGCAGAATGATGAGGCACAGGGGCTTCCCTGATACCTCGTAGTCGCACTGGGAGAGGGCCGTAGCTCGACTTGTCCTACAGTCCCAGAGCGAGAATGTGTCATGGCGAAGGAAAACCACAAAACGCCCCTTTCTCAGCACACATATGCGATGTATGTGACCCTTCTCGGGGATAACGCTTCCTCGTGTCAAGGTCAGGCCCGAGTTGTCCCGTGGGCTCAAAATATGCTTCCACACGATACTTTCGCCGTCCCTGGTTCGAGAGACCACCGCTCGCCCGCTGAAATTTCGGACGATCTTGGTAATCGAAGTCGAATGTCCAGACCAGATGGTTTGAAGGGCGAGACGTCGATCGTTGGTCATGGGGTCAAAGAGATCGGCAACGCTTCCAGTGAACACGCCTATTCTTCCGTCGAATGCATGTAACATAAAGTGAACCTTGCCACTCTCCTTGTCGCAATACGTTTGTATCTCTGTATGAGGCGTGTCTTGAACTTGAAGGAAGTTGCTGAGAAGCTCGAAATGGACATCCTTGACTTGAGCCACCTTGAATAGGGTTGGTGAGTTCGCGGTACTACTGCCGACATTCTCGAGCGCCCATGCCGACATGATGCCCTTCCCATCAAGAGCTATACATATTTCTGGGTTCTTGGTCGCGACTGCGACTAGGTGATCTAGGGCAACGGGGTCGTCGGTGGTTGAGTCGTCAGACATTCGCGCCTGGACAGCTTGTTCTACAGAGGCTGTGAAGTCTCGCCCGTCAAGAACCAGAGCGAAGCGCATGTCCAAGCCCTCTGGGTTCTCTTGCGATGGCGCACAAAGATCCACCTGTCCCCATAGCTGCCAATGCTTCCCGTCGGGTGTATCGGTAGGTGTCCAGACTCGTATGCATTTATCGAGACAAGTGGTGTATAGAACATTGTCGGAGGCCTGCTCAACATGGAATGGTCTGCGCCATCTGACAGAGGTTATGATATTCGGGTGTCGGAGGTATGTGAGATCAAATCGAACTTCGTCGGCACCAAAGTTGAGTCTCCTCCAGACCTTGATCAAGTGGTCATGATGGCTGGACGTGGCGATGTATCTCGAATCGTACGACAATAAGGCATATTTGGCGATGCTCGGCAGCTTCTTTTGCCAGATACACCTCGGTTCGGTCTTGGTGTCGAAAAGGGACAGGTATTGCGTACCCAGCAACAGCTCCGCGGAGCTTCCCCATGACAATGTACAGGGCACGTCGTCGGGATTCGGATAGGGAATGTCCAAGGTCGATTCGAGCGCCCACTAGTAGAGTCGTGAGCTGGAGTTTCCTAAGCATTTATCATGAGATCAGGGATTGGAACCTTCAAAGTGTCTTCGTGCGACCCGAATGGCTTGTACACCCGGACTTGGGTCAATGTGCAAGTAGCGATCTTGCCTGTCGCTTCGTCGAATGCGATGGCTTCTAGCGGTTGTTCGCCTTCATCGTAAACGGTCTGTAGAATGCCGTGGGATCCTTCCAAGATTGCAAAGGCGCTGCCTGTGATGTATACCTATGCAGCATCAGCTCATCAGCTGGGTTCAGAGCTCAGGAGGAGAGCTTGGAACTTACATTAATGTGTCGCGAGTCCCAGTAACCCGAGGCGAGCCCTTGGAGCCTCGAGCGCGGGTTGCCCGGCAAGACGGCCTTCATGCTATTAAGGAGAACAATTTGCGCGCATCGCTTTACCCTATATTTAGGCGCAAAGGAGAGGAGCTTGAGATTTGACAGCTGGAGCTTTGGTGAGCTAAGTC